TCGCCCCTTCACTTCTGCTGCTGGGGGGGCCACTGCACCGGCTGCTTGATCTGCTGCTGCTGCTGGCAGGGAGCGGGGGCCACCGGCACCTGCCCGGTGGCCGCGGGGCACTGCGGCTGGAGGACCACCACCGGTGTCACATCCTGCGCGGCGCTCACTTCGTGGCACACGACCTCCTCAGAGCCGTGGCAGGACCTCTCGCTGTCGTGGCAGGAGGAGCCTCCGCTGTGGCAGGAGGAGCTCTCGGTGCTGTGGCAGCCTCTGTCTCCGCGGGAGCACATTTTTCAGTTGGCGTGGCAAACCCTGGGAAAAAGAGGCTTTTGTTAGGTGCACAAAGGGCAGCGCGGTTTTCCCCGCTCTGCTTTCAGATTTCCCCGATGTGTTTAGCAGCCTGCCGGGGCTCAGCAGGGTTTGCCCATTTGCCCAATGTTTCCCCAGCTTGATCAGCCCGAACCATCTAAACACCCTCACGAGCCCCCCCCAACAGCCCCGATCTCCACTTCTGCTGGCTCCATCAGCTGTTTCCTGGCTGTCCCTTGCTGCATCCCACAAATCCTCACGCAAGATACCCTGGGATTATCTCAGGGCTCCGTCACAGAGGAGCAGATGCGCTGTGGGCTGCCGGTTTATGCAAGGCAAGGCATCTTGGCAAGGGTCTGAAAAGCTTGAAGTCTTGAGGGTCCCTGGCACAGCCGGTGAATTTACAGCCAGGACCGCGGGTATTAGAGCCTTGGCAAATTACACTTTCGAAGCCAGGTGCTGAAAATAAAGATACTCCTGTGCCTTCCTCTCTCCTTGTGTCCTCTGCTCCCTCCATGCCCTGTGGATTCTTGGCTGGCCAGTGCCCAGTTTCCTGAGGCACGAGGAAAATCCTGTATGAGGATCTAAAGCCCCTTCTGAGGAGAGCTGAGATTCCAAGGAGGCAGAAGGCTCCCAGGACGCAGCCAGCTGAGCTGAAGGCTGTTCGTGCTACTCCTCCCCCTCACAGTTTAAAATCTCCCTTCTCAGTTCTTTCCTAAAATTCATCAAGGACAGCTTAAGACTTTCAGCTCCTGAAGATTTCCGTCTTCGAAAGGAGCTTACGGAAGGAGTCAGACTCAGAAATGCGATTAAAATTCCCAGCCTAAACCAAAGGTTTCTTATGAAAGATCAGCGTCCTGCCTCCCATTCATTCCCAAATCCCATTCTTTACTTTATTTCCAGTTTGCCCTTTGGAAATCCTCCGCACTGAAGGAATCCAAATATATCTACATGTGATAAAAACAATAAATTTTGCTCCTTAGCGTAGGCAGCCTTGAGACCAATTCTGATAGCACGAAATTGCCCCAGCCATCGGGGCAAGAACTTGGCTCTCAATAATCCCAGCACCTGCAGACAGACCCGTCTTGGTAAGAGCATAGCTCAGCTCAGTTCAGCAAATTTTAATAAGAATTAAGAATTCTTTTTAATGAGAAAAGTTAGCGGTGGAGCGGAGACTTACCTTGGCTGTGAAGGCTCTGAAGGAGGAGTGGAACGGAGTGAATGAGTTGGTCTCTCATCTGAGGACTTTTATACGATTCCGAACTCTCTTCCTGAAAATGCAATAAACCCCTGGGGAAAAATGACCAATGTATTTACAAAACAGCCACACCTCTAATTATCTACCACCTTCAAAAGCTTATTCAACCCGGTTGCTTTGATTGACTTGTCCTACAGTAGATTGTCTTCCTTGTGTTACACAGCTTTAATTGCCACCCTGCCCCATGCAGGTTGTAATGCACGAAGAGTGAAAACCGTGTGGGTGGCTTGACTGTCTCACCGTCATGCCAGAATGAGTTTTATATTGCAAAATGGATGGCAAAGGTGGTGCTTTTTTTTTTTTTTTTTTTTTTTTTTTTTTTTTTTTTTTTTGGGGTTTCTATCCTCCTGAAACCTCTCACCCAAAGCCTGGCAGGGAGGAGAGGTCATGACAGCCGGTCACGTCTCACCGCTCTTGGCAGGACTGGGGTCTCGCGCAGTGGACCAGAGCCATCGCTTTCACGTCCTCACCACAAAGAAAATGGCAAGTTTTCAGAAAGTCCTCGTCACATACCCGCTGAAAGCACCTTTGAAGTTGTCTTCACCCTGTAAGACATCCGCAGGTGCCAGAAGCTTAGGAGCTGAGGATCCCCTCTCGATTTCCTCTCTCTGACCGTGTCATTTCCCAGGGCAATCAGGATAATGACGCCTGTGGCCACTGCGGCAGGCTCCAAGAGCCGCCGTGGACGGTGACCTGTCAAAGGCAGGTAGCGGTCCAGGCCACTCGCGGAAAGTCTTGCTTATACCTGTGAATCCCCCCGAAAGGCAGCGAGGTTCCTCTGCCTGTGTCCTTCTGCTTCATGTCTGATTTTATCCCCATTTCACTGATATTGACAGAGTTACCACTAATTTTCATTGCTGACGTTTCTTCTGGCCCATACCAAAAAACCCCAGACAGAACTGCTCTATTAAAATTTCCATTTTTCTAACTTTTTTTTTTTTTTTTATGGGCCAGAAGAAACGTCAGCAATGAAAATTTGCATGCCTACAGAAGCTGCTTGGGCAAACCTTGCGTTCATGAGTAAGCTGTGAGTAAAGTGCTAGCTCAGAGACCACTCACCCGGGCTCACCACGCATCTTGAGCTCACCCAACTCTTCCCTGGGGCAGGATGGGTGCACCCTGGGTGCAGAGCAGGGGACTGCTGCAAGCCTGGGGCGCTTGCCTGGCCCTGGTGCAATCAGCTCCGCAACCGTGACTTTGCAATAGCCTCTGTTTCTTCTTTTCCCTCCCATTAATAGCTTGGCCGTGAAACCTCAGCAGGACTCGCTCTGTGTTTTTAACTCATTTTGCATCTTAGCTCCCTCCACAAACACAGGAGTCACAAGGTTTAGTTGGGCAGAGATCGACCGAACATCTGAAGCAGAGCGGTGGCTCCCACTTGCCCTATCTAAACCAATTCAGTTTCTATCCAGAGGCGCCAGGGAGTGACTTTCATCAAGAAGCCAGATTCATGTTTACCGTTCAGCCTGCCTGTTTACAAACAGCCGAAGCAGAGGGGCCACGGCTTTTGCGAGCACCAACACGCTGGGGGAAGAGTCCCGCGTTATCACCGCTCGTCAGCCGCGAGGGATGACTCCTTCCTCGCCCGTTGCACAATGACTGGGGAGGGAATCTGTGTGTGCAAGTGCGCATGTGTGTATCGCGTGTAAAGTCCGGCCTCCGCTGCTCCCAACCTCGCGCTGGAGGTGAGATGCAGCTGCTCCAGTGTGCAGAGAAAGGCAGAGGGATGCAGCCCCAGCTCCTCGTGCTCAAGCTCTGGATGCAAGAGCATCCTCTTTCTCCCCTGGGTCCATCAGAATATTATATCCTCTAGCTCATTTAGCATCTAAGCTGAGGAGGGCTTTTTGACAGAAGCCTCAAAGAACCAGCCAGGCGGGACAGTGAATAAGAAACAGACTTTTTTTTTTTTTTTTTTTTTTTTTTTTTTTTTTTTTTTTTTTAAATACTGTAAGTGTTTTCTATTTTTTTTTGGGGGGAGGATTGAAATTTTGGGATTTTTTTTTTTGATCAGTCAGTTGTACAGATGAGAAGTTTTCGAATATTCCAGACTGTCCTAGGTTTTCTGGAAGTGTCTTGGGAGTTGTTTGAGCTTTCTGACCTCAATGCCCTCAGATGTAGTAGGGAAAATAGCAGAAATCGATAACGAAGTGGTAGATTTTTAGAAATATAAGTAGATGCAAATAAATGATAACGCTGTCTTAATTTTAGGATGGAATTTAATCCAGCTGTTGACAAAACCTTGTGTAACGTTCCCTGCACCACAGTCTTAGAGCATTTTGCAGCATGAAAGGTACCTGTTGTGGCACCAAACATGGGGTTGGAGCTCAGAGGATTTTGGTTTATCGTCATCCGGGGTGTTTTACAAACATCAGGGCAAAGTTTTCTTGATTTTCATTGAGATGAAAAGGTCAAAAATCCCCACAGGTGGGTGAAAGCAGCAATGATAAAAATGTTTTACAGTGTGACTTCAAGATCCTTTGTCTCCCTTTTAAATGGGCACAGATCTATGGCTGTTTTTTTTTTTTTTTTTTTTCTTTTTTTTTTTCCAGAGAACAGTCCTGAAATATTTGTTAAATACCACGTAACAACCAGCACTGGATGTTCAAGCCTCCCCCGCACTGTCCCATCAGCACGGCGCAGAGGAACGATCTTCCTGTGCCTAATTTAGGGCCTGATCCTATAAAAAAATGTCATGAAGCAGGTCACTGCGAGGAAGCCACCGAGCTTGTTCGAGTTGCCTCACGCCACTGGTGCAAGCTTTACATGCTTCAGTTTACAACATCACCTGCAATCTCTTTGGGGACAGGAACCTGAGGTGTAATTGTCTCCAAGTAAACAACCTGGCGCTCCCGAGGTCACAATGTAAATAACAATCAGACGGAAATCAGCTGGGAGTTTTGCATATCTCCTTCAGATAGCTCGCGGAGTCTGGCCTGCGTACCCTTGCAGAGGGTCTTGGCGGGGCACAGTGTTTTTATTTGTTTGGGACAGCACAGGGGATGCTCTGACCAGCAAGAGCAAAATTAAGAACCTTCTTTTGCTGTTGAAAAGGATGTACTTTAATCCTGTTACAATAAAGATCACATTTGAGTACGGTTGTAAAATATATAGTAAAAATGTCGGAAGATAGATTCCTTGAGTATCTGTATTTTGAGTGAAGGAGCCAGAGATTAAAGAAATTATTCACATGCTGAAATTTCCCACAGATTACCAAGTTTTTATTATTTTCCGACCCATGAGCAAAAATGGGATGGAGAGAAGAATCTTTTCCCGTCACCAAAACACAAATCCCTTTATCCCAGCGGTGCTTGCAGCAATGTTGCTAGCACAGCCCCATGCGAGGAACGTAAAGCTCCCTGACCGTAATGACACCATCGGGGAAAAGCCACATTGTGGCACATCCGGGGCGCTTTGGCTTGAGCAGGGGCAGCTGCTGGGTCAGTCACTTCTTCTGGATGGGAGGCCACTGGCTGCTTTTCTTACTCTGGTGGTCCTCGATGTTGGGAATGACCACGGGGCATTTCTGCTGCATGGCCGGGGAGGACCCCTTGCCTCCAGAGCTGAACTCTGGGCTTGAGTATCCCCCGATGCCATAGCTTGGTCCTCCGCTGTAGCACCCTGATCCGCCACTGACCCCTCCTCTTGCTAAGGCCCTTTCTCTTGGCGGTGCATCGTACCCGTACCCGTATCCTCCTCCAGCAGCGATGCCCAATCTCCCACTGTGGCAGCTGGGTCCTCCACCATCCCCTGAGCTGCCAGTGATGTTCCAGCCCGAGTCCTCGCTGCTACACCCTATTCCCCCCCCCGTGCCATAGACTGGGACTGCCCCCCCTGCAGTGCCCCAGCCAGATATCCCCCCGTTGTCACCACTGGCTATTACAATAGATCCATCACTGCCACATCTGTACTCCCCTGAAACGCTGTAGGGGGATGATGTTGGCATGGGCTGGAAGGATGACGGTCCCCGGCTGTAGATGACCGAGCCTTCCCCACCACAGAAGAAGGAGCCATGTCCCTGGAGGTTTGAGAAGCCCCCGCTGCTGCTGCATATTCCTCTGTGGTGTGAGATCTCATCGCTGTAGCCCCTGTTCCGCCGGGCACATCTCCCTCGAAGATAGCGATAAATCTGAAAAAGAAAAAAAAAACCAAAAACAACCAAACCCAAACCTGCACTGTTTTGCTTCATTTTTGCATCATGGCTGGTGGGGAGGTTTGAAGTGGGTGGTCAGGAAAGCTTCGTGAGGGCCTGGAACAATGCCAGGCTTCGAAACCGGGTACTGCCCGACTGCTCTTCAGATGCAAATGGGTTTTGACCCTTACTGGGACAGTTTTCCTCTTCCTTATTTCCAGAGAATCAAAATCTGAAATATATTCTTTTAACACCTGAAAACTGCCATGGTTTTCCCCACTCATCTTCATGGCCATAACGGCAAAAATGGGAAGGATTATCCTTTGTTTCCATTTTTAAACCGTTACGAGAGTGGTGGATCAAAATTTCCATGCCAGACGGTGTTGCGGGCTGCGCTATTGCCATCATTGTGTTGCGTCCCCAAAGGTCTTTTACATAAGTCAATCGGCACAGCCATAGAGGGATGTAACCGTTATGAAGTACCACGTAGACTTGTTATTAAATAATATCAAAAACGTGTCCCGCACGTTGCAAACGCGTTCAACACTACGCAGACCGTGCAGTTACCGTGTGCTGGTCCCACTACAGACTCGTCTGGGGTTTTTAGCCTGCTCAGCCTTATGGCTCCCAGTCCAGTGACCTGACTTCACCTTGCTCTGTAGTGATCTGATCCCAACCACAGCAAGAAACCATACAGATCCCGAGAACTTCGCTCTGGGTGCTCTGTCAGCGTGGGTAGTGCTGCAAGCACGTGTCAAGAGCTCAGAGAAAACTATCTCCCATGAATATGAAAAAAACAAAGCCTCAGAAAAGAGCAGACTTACCCTCCTCAGCCATTGGAAACACATTTAGAAGATAAAAGTCGACTGAACGAGAAGCTTTAATAGACAGGAACTTTTATATGGCGTTTAGCATATCTGGGAAGTGAGACACCCTAAGGAATGGCAAGGATTTATTTGCTAATCAAATTCTGATTTGAGTGTTTGCTTTGACTCATGACATCTGATCGATATCTTTCCTTCACTGCTGCTTGTTGCGTGGCGTGCAGCGGTAATTGCTACTTCTGCTTAATGATCCTATTCCTGTGCTCCTGCCCTGAGCTACGGAGGATTATTTTGGCCCCCAGCGAGGTGGTGACGCTGGGGGAGACTGGGGGAGGTGAGTGGGAGAATGGGTGTCTGGAAATTCTGAGGAAGAGGATTAGTGAATGTGGGGCGAAGAGTGGTGGTGACCAGGTGCTGCTCAGGGAAGGGGCTGGGAGACTCCATCAGCGGTGCGGCAGCGCTGGTGGCTCAGGGCGTCACTGTAAGGGCGGGTGTCATCAGCAGATACCCGGGAGAGGGGAAGCAAAGCATCTGGGGGCCACACAGCACGTTGATCCCTCCAGCATCTCGCTGGTGGCTCCAGTGGGAGATTTTCCGAGGGAAACATTTGCAGCTGAACCAAAAAGGCGTCAAAAGTGAAGCGCCCAGCTTGGGTATTTTGTGAGGGTGCTAGAGATGCTCTGAGAACCTTTAGGGGCCCTGGAGACAATTGTGGAGGTACGAATGTCCCAACACTTCAACCCACTGTGGCTGGATTGCTCCTCTAATGAAGGATTATGCCTCCAGATAACTTTTTTTTTCCTGCATTTTCATGTACCATGTCCTTCCTCTGGCTTGGAAAGAGCACCAAGAACCGGGGACACTGATCTAGAGGGCCGTGGGGGATATG